GTCGCGCCCGCGACGTGGCTGGAAAGGCCATGAGGTGCACACTGTGGTGGAGGCACTCATCTAGAAGTGGCTGGCAGAGGGGGTCTCTCCAGCTCTGGCATGGGCATGGACACGGGCCCTTCCATGGCTGATGTCCCTATGCTGTTGCCCACTTCATTCAGTGCCTCAGGTGGGGTTTTGGTGTTGCTTCTCCCCACTGCTGGCCAGTCATGATGGGACATCCCAGCTCCTCCTGGCGCCAGCCTTGTGCCCAAGCACATTTTTGTGGTGAGGTTCTTCATGCTGACATGGGGGATTAGATGAGCTGCAGCCTCTGCCCTCGCCCCAGGTGTCAGTGTCCCTCCTTTCCTATGTCCAGACTAAGGCTGAGCACCCAAAAGGTTGCCAGTGCTGGTGCAGGGGGGTGATAGCCCAGGTTGCTCCTGGGTCCAAAGGCTGCTGCGTTAGTGATGTGAAAGCCAAAGCTCCAGCCCCTTGGTCCCTCACCAGGGCGAGTGGCCAGAGAGAAGGGAACAAGGAAGGGAGGGAGAGAGAGAGGTCAGAAGGAGCTGCTGCAGTGGCCATGGGGACAGGAGAGCAGCAATGCCATCCTGCCATGGGTTTGGGTGACAACCATCCCACCAGAGAGCTCTGACCCCCCAGCTCTGCCCAGTCACAGAGGGGATTGAAGGAGCTTCTGTGATTGTCAGGCGAACACCGAGGGGCTGGGAGACCCAATTTTCCCCATGTGCTTCCCTTCGGCTCCGTACATGATTCCATTAAAGCCAGTCACTTCTCTCCTGGCCTATTCCGGGCGCCTGGGGCAGGACGGGCACAGCTTTGGGGTGCAGCATCATGTGTGGCTGGGGACACAGGATGGGGCAGTGCTCCATCTCCTAGTGCAGGACAGTGCTGAGGAGCCGAGAGCCTCAGCTCACAGAGAGCAGCCCAGTGACCACAGTGAGGGGCTGGAAGTCTGCCATTCCTGGGGTGCTGAGGCATGGGGCTGTGGTGGCTGGGCAGTGGAGCCATGTGTGTGTGCGTACATATGTGTGTATGTACGCACATGTGCCTTTGTGTGTGCACATGCATGTGCATGCATGTTTGTGTCTGTGTTCATATGCATGTGTGTGCAAATGTGTATGCATGTGCATATGTCTGTGTGTACACATACATGTGCATGTATGTGCATGTGTGCATGCATGTATATGTGCATATGCTTGTGCATGCATATATACTTGCATGTGTATGTGTCTGCCTACGTGTGTACATTCATGTACATGCATGTATGTACCTGTGTTCATATGCATGTGTGTGTCAATGTGTATGCATGTGCATAGGCTTGTGTGTACACGTGCATGTGTGTGCATGGGTGTGCTTTTGTGTGCTTGTGCATGCGTGTGTGCATATGCTTGTGCATGGATATGTGTGTGTGCATATGTGTATGTGCATTTCTGTACACACATGTGCACACGTGCATATATGTGTGTATGCATGTGCATATGTGCGTGTGCATTTGTGACCATACCTGTGTGTGTGCATATGCATGTATGTGTGTGTGTTTACACATGTGTTTGCATCTCTGCATGTAGGGGTGTGTGTGTGCATGGCCCTGCTGCAGGCTCTTTTCTGGGCCCTCAGACCACTCTGCCACATGCGAGCACCAGTTCCAGGGAGACACGGAACCCCTTTCCCTTCCTCTCCTCTGCCCCCCACCACAGAGCTCTGTGGTTTCCCTCCTGCCCTGTGGCTCCCTGCTGTGGGGCGCTCGGCAGAGACCTCACCTGCAGGAGCCCATTGTGCCCCAGCAGCTGTGGTACAAAATCAGCACAAAACATATGTAGTGGAGGGAACATGGGCTAGTTGCAATCATGGAACGGTGTGGGTTGGAAGGGACCTTAAAGCTCATCCAGTTCCAACCCCCTGCCATGGGCAGGGACACCTTCCACTAGACCAGGTTGCTCAAAGCCTCAACCAGCCTGGCCTTGAACACTTGTCGGGGATGAGGCAGCCACAGCTTCTCTGGGGACCCCTGGCCCGGGGCCCACCCTCATCACAGTGGAGAACTTCCTAACATGGGAAGAACTTCTTCCTAAAATCTCATCTCAATCTCCCCTCTGTCAGGTTAAAGCCATTCCCCCTTGTCCTGTCCCTACAGGCCCTTGTTCAAAGCCCCTCTCCAGATTTCTTGTCGGCCCCTTTCAGGCACTGGAAGCTGCTCTAAGGTCAGGAAGCTCAAGTCCTCCTCCTCATGGCCGCTCTCACTCCAGCGTCCACCCAGCGTCCTTCGCTCAGCTCCAGCCCAGGCAGCAGCTGCCAAGTTTCACTTCTGCACTCTTGTGAAAATGGCCTGATTTCCAGTAAGTCAGGAGGCTTCTGGCTGTCTCCATTAATAAAAAGCAGGAAACCATGTAAGAGATCAGGGCTGCATAAAGTGAGGGGCTCAGCTGGGCTGACTCCAGCCCGGCAGCTGCTGAGAGCCGGAGGCACACAGTGTGACCTCGCTGATAAGCTTTGGGGGAGGTGGGGTGTGAGGGATCAGCACAGAGCAGGGATCTTGTCTGCCTTCTGCTTCCTATTTCATGTGTTTACCACCTCCTGAGAGATGCCAGGGAAGGAAAAGGGGGTTTAGGGTGGATGGTCCCTGCTCTGAGCCTGGGATGCAGGAAGCAGCCTTTGCTCACCGGCCTCTTTGAAGAAGCTCAGGGGTCCCATGTAACTGGGAGGGTAGGGAGAAGGCAGGGGGTGTCAGCACAGGAGCCCACAGGGAAGGAAGGGGGATCCGGGGCTATTCAAGGGTAGTCTGGTGCCTGCAGAGGAGCAAAGCCTGGCTTCAGGAACTGGCTGCAGGCCTGGATGGGGAGGGGCCTGCTCTAGGGACAGACCCCTTGCAGAGCCCCTTCCCTGCTGCGAGCTGGGAAATGCTCCCCCAGCCGGCGCTGATCCTGCCCGCCCTGGACGCGACGCAGCCCCACAGTGGGCCAGGATGGGTGCATTCGCCTGGAGCACAGCGAGCCGGGGCCGGGAGCCGGGGCACCTGTGGATCTGGGCAAGCACCTACATTCTGGTGACATTTGCTTCCATGCTCTGGAGACGGGACTGGGTTGGGACGTGTCAGGGCCCGAGGGGAGGTGGAATGCAGCCCTGCGGGCACTCCCATAGCTCAGAAAGCTGAAACTGATAATTTGGGGAACATCACTGGTGATAACCTTTTTTGGTGGGATGTACTCTGTCAGCTCTAACAGGGGTGCAGAAGCAATGGATGTTGGGGTGGAGTCCTTGAGCGGGTGCCTTGGGCAGTGGTGCCTGCCTCCTGCACTGCTCGTTATGGAGCAGGGTAATTGATGAATGGCATTTGTGGGACACCCGGCCCTGTTCTAAATGCTACAGGGAAAGTTTTTCCTTTTTCCCCTACAGAGTGATGGTGAGATTCCTCTCCCAGCCCTCCTACAGTCTAAACTTCACCACCCAAAGTGCTCTGGTCCCCTGGCACAGCCCTTCGAAGGCACAAGCTGTTCCAGAGCCTGGCTCCCCTGGGGCAGGGATGGGGGAAAACACTCTTGAGGGGGCTGTTCCCATGAAGCAGGCTGCAGGCAGTCCTGCTGTAGGTCATGCTGCCAGCCTTACTGCTTCCCTTGGTTTCTTCCAAAGAAGAAAGCGATCCTGAGTTATTCCAGAAATATACGTAATAGTCCTCTTTGTGCAGTAACACAATGGCATGTGCCTTTTTCTTTTTTCTTGAAGAAGTATGAAGCCATGCTGGGACTTCAAGCCACGTTAACTGTTCAAGGCCAGGTTGGATGGGGCTTTAAGCAACCTGGTCTAGTGGAAGGTGTCCCTACCTGTGGCAGGAGGTTGGAACTAGATGATCTTTAAGGTCCCTTCCAACCCAAACCCTTCTAGGATTCGATGATTCAAGGTGTGCCCATGTGCTAGTTGAGGGTCCAGCTGGGCTGGAGTTAATGTAGCTCTGCAATGCTGTTTTAGGCATCTGCGACTAAAATAGCATTGGTCATTAGATTATCAGGTGAGGTACCTGACTTGCAAGGACGAGAGCAACCCAGGACTCGCACCTATGCCAAAACCCACAGAGCAAGAGCATGAACCCTTGTATTCCTTTGGTGACTTTTTCACTGATTTGGAGGAAGAAGCCCCTGAATCTGCAACCAGGGATAGTTGTGTACACCCCATGGACCTCCAGATGGCAATTTTTCATTGCGCTGATGATTTTGTGAGACAGTACATTTCAACAAAGCTTGCTTTCTTCCAATTTGCACTACCTCTCCTGGTACCAAACCCATGCACTTCAAAGATAGAGTTTCCCCTCTGGTCCCTCAGCCAGATAAAAAAAAGCTGGAAAGAGTCTGAGAAGTCAGGAAAGCAGGCCAGAACTAACAGTTACAAACCCAAACTCATTTATCAAGCAGAGACACCCATCATGTCCTTCATATGGATTGGCAGTTCTCCCTCCTCTTCCAAGTCTCAGATCCTGAATGCTCTGCTGAGCAAACAAAAGCATGACACTTTTTTCCACCGGCATTGCAAAGGCAGCACCAAAGACTGTTTGCTGATGAAAGGTGTTGTGGAGATCTCCTGGTACTGTCCCCGGGGCAGTGATGATGATAGCTTTGCTATGTTGCTTTCTGTAACCTGCATGGAGATGCAAGGGACCATGAAAAACAGCTGCAGTTTCTGCAGGAGATATCAGCTGTGAACGTGGCTCTTGTAGCTGAGTCTGATCAGAGTGACAAGAAAGGGATGAGAATTTTACGTGACCTGTGGCAGTCACAAATGCCTTTGGTTTGTATTTTCACTGAAAAAGAGAACGTTGCAACTGGCCAACCCAGCCAAAACATAACAATAGGTATCAAAACCAGAAACGAAGCAGAATTAATGGGCGAGCTGAAAAAAACTATTGGAGATATTGTGGAAGGGTCTAACACACTTTTCAGCCTCACCGCCTGCCTGGACAAAGCTCGCAAGCATGGATTCTTAGTTGATGAAGATATAGATGCATGTGTAACAGCCAAAGAAAAGGCAAAGACACTGGTGAAGCTTCCGAAGGAAGAGAAGTTGTTTGAGATCAAATCCCAGCTGCTGTCCCTTCAAGGAATACTGTGGTACACATGGTGCAAAAAGGACAAAGAACTCACTCGCTTGCAGGAGAAGAAGAACAAGAGCACAGAGCATCATCGGACCCAAACCGAACAGGAAGTCAGTGATAAGAAAGCAACTAGAGCAAGCATTCCCTCTCAATCTGAAACCTTAGTTGATGAAGAATTTAGATGCCTTCTCTGATGAAATCAACGATTCATCCATTGATCTTGAGCATATTTTGAGAGAGGTGGGGCAGATTTATGAAGCTCTGGATTCGATGAACTCAAAGGATGAATACTTTGCCAAACTACCTGAAATTTCAGCTGATCTGGTGGTTTCAGGGTATCCTGTCGAGCTGATGGTTGGTGATGCTTCTTACTTACCATTACGATGGGTCAGTGCAATCTTTGACAGATTAATTAATACACTAGGGGACAAACAAGTATTTGTTCTCTCAGTGCTTGGCATCCAGAGCACTGATTGAAATCAGCCCTGCCGAATGCCATGTTTGGTCTTCAGTTTAATGCCAGTGCAGGGAGATGCACCCGGGGAGCATTTATGCAGCTAATTAAAGTGGATGAGAAGCTGCACCAAGATTTGGACTTCAGTTACCTGCTAGTTGTTGACACAGAGGGACTTTGTGCCATAGAGATGGCCAATAAACAGTCCCTTAACCATGACAATGAGCTGGCCACCTTTGTTATTGGCATTGGCAACATGACTCTGATCAACATCTTCGGAGAAAATCTTTTAGTAATGCAAGATGTCCTCCAGATTGCCGTCCAGGCTTTTCTGAGGATGAAGCAAGTAAAACTTCCCCCAAGCTGCCTGTTTATACACCAAAATGTGGGAGAAATAACTGCCAAGGAACAAAACCTGGAAGGACGAAGATGCCTCCAGGAAAAGCTGGATGACATGACTGTGACAGCTGCCCAGAAGGAATTCTATGATGCCTCATAGACATCATTTGCTTCGATGTGAACACCCACATTCATTACTTTTCTCACCTGTGGGAAGGAAACCCCACAATGGCACCACCCAACCCCACCTACAACCAGAACGTCCAGGAATTAAAGAGCAAAATTCTCCAAGCTGCCAAGAAGGGCTCGCAGGGCAGTATTTTGAGGCTCTCAAGTTTGAAAGTTCGTATTAGTGACCTCTGGAACGCTTTGCTGAATGAAAAATTCATTTTCGGCTTCAAGATCTCGGTGGAGATTGCTGCATACAAGAAGCTGGAAACCGCATTTAACCAGTGGACCTGGTGGCTGAGGAGTTACGTCTTGTAAATGAAACTGGACAATCACGTTCAGAATGGGGACTTGCAGAAGATCACCAGAGAAAGCCTTGAAAATCTAGTGCAAAAGACAAGTGATGACATCATGGAAGACATGGAAAAGTATTTCAGTGAGGACAAAGACCGTGAGATACTGGTCCACTGGAAAGTCAGCACGGAACTGAGGCTGAAAGAACTAGAGGAATCTCTCCTTCATGAAACTAGAAAGAAGTGTGAGAATCTTACTGAACTAAAGAAGAACCAGTGTAAACTGGATGGAAGGAAGTCAGAATATGAAAGCGAGCTCCTGAAAAAGAGTAGGAAGCTGGCTCTGTCTCTAGAAGGCAAGACACTCAGTGAAGGGGAACTCAGAGACAACTTTGTTCCTCTCTGGAATAGGTGGATTGCTGAAGCCTCCTTTGCTGCTCCCCCTCTGGAACAGGTTGATATTGATAGGGAAATAGATGATGTCCTTCTAGATCAGTTTAAGGAGCCCAACATATTGGCACAGATCAGGGAATTTCCCCAAAACAAAGCATTTTCTGTTGAAAAACATATCACTAAGAAAAAACATTGGGGCCTCGTTAGTAAGAATTTTGATCGTGCTGGTGTGAGCAACATAGAACACATTACAAATGGCATCATAATGTGTGTGAAGGCAAACATTGATAAGAAAGAACAGGAGAAAAGGGATTATAGTTAAAGTTTTATTCATGAAATACTAAATGAAGTACAGAAAGGTATGAACTTGTCCCTAGCAATGCAACATACAGTTTTAATAAAGATTACACAACAGATTTATCGCTGTATCTGTGCAAAACAGCAGCAGAAAGATTTAAAGCCATGCATGAAGCATTCAAACAAGCAAATGATCCCGCCATCTACCTGGTGAACAAGAGAGAAGTTTTCTTTAACTGTTTCCAGATCTCCTGCCAAGGGGCCACTTCTATCACAACATTTGCTGTTTTCCTGTGTGACAAGATTGCCCCAGCTCTTTGCCAGGCAATCTATGAGAGGACAGCTCTTACCATAGCTCAAGACATCAGGGGTAAGCTGCCAGCTTTCGATGGCAATAGATTCTCTCTGGAAGTTTGCATACTGAAATACCCAGCAGAAGAAGAAAATTTTGAGCATTTCAAGGTGTATCTTAATTTCCTAGGAGACTGTATAAAGAGTTACGTTGAGAGACGTGTTGAGACGTACTGTTTGGATAAGAACAGCAGGCTGGAGAAGACTTTAGATGACTCTCTTATCTCTATGAAAGCATCAGGTCAGCTGTTTTTCAATCAACCAACATTGTCAAAGACAGAAGAGACAGAAATGACAAAATCTCTCTTTGGCTGGATGTATTTTGCAAGGCACTTAGAGACGTGCCAAGCTTGCCCAGAAGCAACCTGAGGAGCATTGAGCATCAGGAGATAACAGACATAGAAGCCAGAAGAACTGGCTTCCCTGAAGGATTGTCTCAAGAATGAGTTTCCTAAGGCTGATATGACATATTTGAAAGGCAGTCTCACACAATCCTGGCTGAACAGTTTTCAGAATGCTGGAATCAGTGTCCCTTTTGTGGGGCTGTTTGCACAAACACTATACCAAATCACAATGGAGACCATCAGCTTGTCTTCCATCATCTGTAAGTTTTGGCAGGATGCAAGTGGCATAAAACAGACAATCTGTTAACTGATAGTTGTTCTAATGGCATTGCGAGTAACTGTACATTCAGTATTGGTGAAAACACATGGATCCCGTACAAGAACTACCGTGATGCAGGACCTCTTTATTCCAAGTGTAACATTCTTCCTGATACATCCATGCAAGTGTACTGGAAATGGTTTGTGTCTCATTTCAGGACAGAGCTAGAAAATTTGTACAATGGGAAATTTCATGGCAAAGGAGAAATCCCTGCCTCGTGGCAGCGAATTACAAAGCAGGAAGCACTTGATGAAGGCAGAGAATTACAAAGCAGGAAGCACTTGATGAACTGTAGAAGCTTTAGGCCAAGTCGATATCAGAGATTGTAGCAATAGGACAAGGGCTATTGGGTTCAAACTTAAACAGGGGAATTTCAGGTTGGATATAAGGAATAAGTTCTTTACTGTGAGAGTGGTGAGACACTGGAACATGTTGCCCAAAGGAGTGGTAAATGCTCCATTCCTGGCAGAGTTCAGGGCCAGGTTGAACAGCGCCTTGTGCGACATGGTCTAGTGTGGTGCGTCTCTGCTCATGGCAGGGGGGTTGGAACTAGATGATCTTAAGTTCCTTTCCAACCCCAACTATTCTATGATTCTGTGATATGGAGGAAGAACTGCAACTGTTTTGCATTTTAGAAGAGCATAGTACAAGTAACTCCGCAAAATACTGTTACAATATACAGTATATAAATATATATGCAGCCTCAAGCTACATAAAGAAAATGATACCTAATTGCTGACAAAGTTGGGTGAAATAAGGCATGCTACTCCTGTGTCAGAAATTCCCTTGCTTCATGATACTCAGAATCCTCTTCCTTTCTTGCCACAAACGTTTACCTCTGCTTTGTCTTAAACCAAAAAAGAAAAACATTCCTGCAGCGAGCAGTCACATGAACAAGATTAAGACCAAGTGTCAGGTCAAGAGCAAAGGCAGCATTTGAAAGTACCAATTTTATCAGCTGCTATGAGAACAAAAGTGACGCTGACAAAAAGTGACACTTAAAGAAAAGGCTGTGGGATCTGAGAGCAGCTCAACATTGGCTGCAAGCTTTGCTGGTTTACTTTTCGGTATTATCATTCCCTTATTGATCCTTTATTGATAAACTGAGGTTAATTGCAGTTCTGTCTCCGACATCATTAGGGCAGTTAACACAACAGCCCATGTGGATTTAGGTAATGGTTTAACACAATGTTTATTAAGCACACTCCATTTGTTAAGACAAGCCATTCCTGCCCGGGCCTGTTGAACATTCCTCCACCTCTTAGCCACCTCTAAGCAACTGCTCTTCTATTTGCTTAGCTGTTGAGTGAAAGCCTTTATATAACCAATGCGGAGGATTATGTCTTTTTGCAGCTTCCTCAGCAGCCATCAGCAGTGTGTGACGTTAGTGTTCATGCTGTCAGGACAGGCTGGTGGCAATGGAACCATGATCTGGAGAACATGGAACCAGCCAGGACTGCACCACTGATGTGGTCAGCAGTTTTTGCTGTGCAGTTCCTTTCAAGGCCGCTGTAAATCCAAGGAGCTTTGGCTAAAGTGGTTATTCACTATAATTGCTTGTACTCTTTGGTAATAAACCAGTTGAGATAGACAGGCCTGGTCTCTGCATCCTTTATTTTCAAGTTAGCTGCAGTTGTGTGACTCTTCGCTACAAGAGCAGCAGACACAAGGGCTCTCACCCTATGTGCTCTTACCAGAAACATCTAAAGGGGTTTGTAGGTCCTTTTCAACCCAAACCATTTTGTGACTTTATGATTCTATAAAGGATGCTGTGGTGGGAACCAAGCCTGGTCAATCACACTAGTGGGTCAGTGGGAGATTGAGAAGATTTATTCCAGTGAGGTTATCAGAGCAGGAGCTGGTCAGATGGGAAACTAAGGGGAAAAAAGGGAACCAAACCCAAAATACAGCATGACACAGCCCTGACAAAACAGACATGGAGACAATGGTTTGGAAACAAACCTTGCCAGTGTGAGTATGTGCTGCAAGGACAAAGCACCAGTTACTGGTGAGACCTGTGTGTGTGTGAGTGGATTTCGGGCAGCTCCTGGAATCACACAGGGAGTGTAGGTGCCTCTGGTGTCAGCTGCTGGAGCAAGAGGGGTCCCAGTGAAGTGACAAGGAGTGAGTGGGGGTCTTTATCCTACAGCTTCTGGTGTGGGAATGGTGCATGGCCTGAAAACCAACCATTGGTGCGAATGAGGTGAGTGAAGGGCTGAGCACCAGCGGCTGGAGCAGGACCATGGGTCACAACCCAAACTGGATGTGTGTGGGACGTGCGTGTGAATTCATCTGCAAACTTGAAGCTGGAGCCGCTGTGGGCAGGGTGGCCTTGGCCCAGGTTGGGGTATCCAGGGGTTGCAGTGTCCATGTTGGTACCCTCACCTCATCATGTGTGTCAAAGCACTCTTTCAGGGCTTCTGTTCTCCCATGCATGCTCTGCATCGCTTACAAGCTTTAGGCAATCTTCCCCTTTCAGATGTCTGTGTGCCTGTAACCTCCAGCTCCTTCTCCAGTACAGGGAGGCAGTGCTCTACATGGAGGCTTACGGGTGTCAGTGTCTCTGCAAGTCCACCTTGGCCTGAATCTTCCTTGCAGGGATCACCTGGCATGTCCTTCCCCGTGGACACTACTGTGGGAAGGAAGGCAAGGACACAAGGATGCAGGGTTTGTAGCTAAGGTTCTCAGTATCACTCGCTCAAAAGGAGTTGATATGGAAGGCAAAAGACCTGATGATGTTGGGATATGAATGGAAAGGTTATCAGGAACTGTCTGGTGGGGCTCTGTCACAGGGGCTGGAGAATGCGGGTGACAGGCCTGGGGTGACAGGCTGGGAGGCCAGGATGGGGCTGGAAGTGGAGAGGTGGAGATCTGAGCATGCCAACTTTGAATCATAGAATCACAGAACAGTTTGCATTGAAAGCGACCTTAAAGCTCATCT